CAGGAAGTGATGTGCTGAATCAAGCCTCTCTGTTCCTCAAACTGTAAGGAAGAATGCGTCGCTGTTCTAGAATCAAAGGATGCAATGTGTGCGTGGGTTGCAGTTCAGAAGGTCAACTTCTTCTACTAGTGGTTGGTACTTGGATGACCTATCACCTCGTTGCAGCAGAACTGAACTGGGGGTGGTCAACCAAGATGGCAACGATATTCCAAATGTTGATCGACGTGCGTATTGGAACAAACGTTCGTGTGGAGTACAATTAGTGACTGTACATAACAATGATCGGAGGCTGTGTAGAGCATCAGGGAGTACTGATTCCCAACGGGAAGGCGGGAGATTGTGAGATTTCAGCGCTAAGCTTATTGTTTTCCAGAGAGTACCGTTGAGATGCTCAACTTGACCGTTACACTGTGGGTTATAAGCTGATGTATGACTCATAGCAACGCCTTTCTCCAGAAGAAAGCTATTGATCTCAGACGACATGAACGATGAGCCTCTGTCGGAATGGATATAGGCTGGCTTCCCAACGGGAGGCGGGAGATTGTGAGATTTCAGCGCTAAGCTTATTGTTTTCCAGAGAGTACCGTTGAGACGCTCAACTTGACCGTTACACTGTGGATTATAAGCTGATGTATGACTCATAGCAACACCTTTCTCCAGAAGAAAGCTATTGATCTCAGACGACATGAACGATGAGCCTCTGTCGGAATGGATATAGGCTGGCATTCCGAACAGACAGAAGATTTGTGTGAGACAGTCAATCACAGTTGCCGAGGTCATATCCGCACACGCAAATGCAAATGGGAATCTAGAGAACTCGTCAATTATAGTGAGTAAGTAGCGGTTGCGTGTATTAGATGGCAAAGGACCTTTAAAATCCAAACTCAGACGTTCAAAAGGTTGTGTTGCTTTAATGAGTCTACCAGAGGATTTCCAAAATCTTGGCTTCAGTTCAGCACACACTTTGCAGGAGGAAATGACGCGCTTGACATCGTCGACGGAGTAGGGGAGATTCTTGCAACGCACAAAATGAAACATACGGGTAATGCCTGGATGGCAGAGGGAGTTATGGAGCTCTCCGAGTTGGTTATTGCTCCCCATGGAAGCACATACGTTTCGTGACAGAGTGTCGGCGACATGATTGTCCTTGCCAGGTCGGTATATGACATCATATTTGTACTCGGACAGCTCAATCCTCCATCGTTGTATCTTGTCGTTTTTCACTTTACCCTTCTGTCCACCGCCGTACATGAATGAGACTGAACGCTGATCGGTGATCAGTTTGAAGGGTCTTCCGAGTAGATAATGCCGCCATTTCCGGATGGATTCAACGATAGCGTAGGCCTCCTTCTCGATGGCAGAATGATTCTTCTCGCTCGGATTGAGTGTCCTCGAGAAAAAGGCTACCGGCCGACGGTTTTGGCTTAGGGACGCGGCTATAGCCACATCGGAGGCATCCGTTTCAACAACCAGAGGCTCGTTATAATCTATTGTGATTAGTGTAGCATTTTCTAGTTCGTTCTTTAGGTTGTCGAAGGTCAACTCGACGTCGGCAGGTAGGGGAAAAGTTTTATTCTTTACCAGTTTGTTGATTTTGTCGGAAAATGAGGATATCCAATGAGCATAATATGCAAACATACCGATGATACGTTGCATTTCCGTGGTAGTACGCGGAAGAGGTAACTGACGGATGGGTTCCATGCGTTCAGGGTCTGGTCTAATGACACCCTTTGAAACCTCATAACCTAGGAGGCGGATAACTTTTGAAGAAGTGACTGTTTTGTCATCATTAAGAGTGATCCCATACTTCCTCGTAGCTCTCAAAAACGACTGGAGATTGAGATCGTGTTCCTCTTGGGTCTTGCCACAAATAGTCACATTGTCTATGTAGGCATACGTGCTTTTCAGCTTTTCAGTCGTAATGATATTGTTAATAGTTCGCTGAAAACACGCAACACCGTTTGTGACACCGAAGGGTATGCGACGAAACTGAAACAGGCCACCACATGCTTCGAATGCTGTAAAAGGTTTGTCGGATGCCGAGATGGGGACTTGATGGTAAGCAGACAAGAGGTCTAATGTACTATAGACTTCGTAGTGCGAAATCTCCTCAATCATTTTGTCCAAGCGTGGCAGAGGGTAAGCGTCCAGATATGTGAACCGGTTGATAGTTTGGCTGTAGTCAACAACCATCCGGCGTTTGTGATTGATACCCTTAGTAATCAAAACCTGCGCTCTCCAGGGAGACGTTGACGGTTCGATGATGCCTTCTTGCAATAAGCGGTCAACTTCGGCGCGAATGAATTTTTCATCATCCGGATGATGCCTTCTTGATTTGGTTGCAACAGGCTTGCAATCTGGAGACAAGTTGGCGAAAAGTGATGGTGATTCAACGTTTACAGCCGTCAGGCCGCAGATGGTGAGCGCATCACGATCCCCGCCGAATGAAATTTCTACCTTGCCATGTAGACCTAGAAAGTCATGCCCGAGTAAAACGTCGGTGCAGAGGTTTGGCATTACAAAGAGCTTCAGTTCACTGTATGAGGTATCTCTGTATCGGACAGAAACACAAGCGTAACCAGTCGTTCGACAAGATAGGGATGTAGACGCCATTGTGACGACTGAGAAAGTTGGATAAATTTTCCAATTATGCAGTTTCACGACCTTAGCGTTAATGAAACTGCAAGAACTCCCTGTGTCGACCAGAGCACGGAGAGTGATGCCATTGACTTCGATAGTTGCGATGGCATGCGCCAGGCAGGTAGGAGCTGCTGCAACGAATAATGACGATAAAGTAGGCTTTGTTGTACAACTTGTGTGGAACTTGGAGGTATTTTTTGAACGGCACACGCGGCGGAAGTGACCGCGTTTACCACAAAGATTGCAGACGGCTTCGCGAGCGGGGCACTTTGGACGAGGATGTGCATCATAACCGCAGAAATAACATGTCTGAATGGATTTTACAGCAGCAGTGGTGGGATCAACACGCAGTTCGGGATTCTGTGAAATGGGTGGAATCGTAGAGCAAGATATGGGTTCGTTACTAACATATGACTGTGACTGTTTGTGAGCCAATTCGAGGGGTCTAGCCAGCTGATATGTTTGGTCCAGAGTGAGTTCGCTAGAAGTTTCTCGCGGATGGACGTGGACGCCAGGCCGTTAATTATAGCATCACGTACGCACTCATTTTGATATTCAGTTGCAGACACAGATTTAAACTCACAGTCTTTGGCTAATGATTTCAGTTTTTGTACGAACTGATCGATATCTTGTCCACTCTCCTGCTTGGAGGTCTGTAGCAGGTAGCGTGCATGTATGACATTTTTTGGACGGACATAATTTCCGTAACGTATCGATTGCAGATTCATAGTCGGTGTGATCATCGATGTGATCGTATACTAACGGATCGACAAAGTGGATGAGAGTTTCAAGTTTGTCGGGTTTAGAAGATTCGATGGTTTTCAGATAGGTTTCGAAGGTACGAAACCAGTGATTCCAGCGTTTTGCTGCATCTGCGGAGTTTGGGTCAGCGTCGAAGAACCGAGGTCGTAGTTGCGGGTCCATTGTGTTCTTAGACAAGTAAATTGAGACGTTTAGAAAGTGTCCGAGAACGAGTTAGAACAGAGTCCAGGTTTTCGAGGATAAGCAACGTTTTACTTGTCTAAGAACAAGCGCACATGAGCTGAAATGTACATACAAAAGTTCAGTACGAGTATATATGGTAAGTATAAGAATAAGCACACAAAAATCATGACAGCCCGTATCCAGTATATCCAGAGGCTGTGTTGCCAGAGGCCAGCTGAGCTGCTTTTCGAAGTGTTTGACCCATCATACCGGCCGACCATTTTGTGAATGAATTAATGAGCCACCTCTTTCACTTATGGTTTCACTGACCGTTGCTTTTCTAAGACCAGTTGGTCGTACCAATTGATATAGGGAACAGCTCTTCTCGGTAGCAAAACCCTTCGATATCCGCCAGAGCTCTCGGTCTTTTTTAGGCCCTTCACTATTTGGCGCTTGAGGTATTTTCGTGCGCCATCGTACTCGTTGCTTGCTGGTACGGATTTCCTAGCATCAGTCGGGACCAACGATCTTGACGATATCCAGGAAGAAGTCGTACAGACAGCACTAAACGCCACTAGCATACCTCCCTTCACCTTTTGCAGTGTTTCATCCCCAGGCTCACTACCGGTACAGCATTGGTTTGCTATGGAGAGTTGTTAAGCTGTCTCAGTTTGTTGTCTTTGTGCTAGCTAGGTTATTTAGGAGCTTGATGGAATGTATTATATAACGTTTGATAGTCTAGTATTTGAGTGGGAAAACCTCAAGGAAGAAGACAAAGTACACCGGATGGAGATCAGCTATGTTGCATGGGAACCAAGGGAAGAGAGAGCACTGCTTCTCAGTTGGATACAACAGCGAGGAAATGAAATCTCAGTGAAGTATTACAAAAGGCAATTGTTCATTAGGATTTGACCATCTTAACTATGATAGTTCTTTGACGATAGTGGATTGGCGTGGTTCTTGCTGACTGACGGGAACGAACTGTCAGGCATGGTGTGATCAGAATCGAGTTGTGCCCCAGAAGGAACGGCAGTCTTGAATTCTGGCCGTCCACCGGCGGCTGATGGCCACGTGATCCAACTGCGTCCATGGTTGATTTGCAGTTGTTGGCCATCGGGTTACGCGATACAGACGTTTATGCTGAAAGTTCGTACTGGCCAGAAACTAATCATGCTCTGCACACAACTGGAGGAGTCGCTCTCCGCTGTCTGTGTGACGAGCGTCGACTCGGAATCGACCGCCCAAATGTGATTCCGAGGAGCTCAGACAACCGCCTTGAGCATTCAAAAATCCCGTAATAATGACGATGTCAGTGCTTCCTTTTCAACGAATAAAGCCGGATAGCTGTCGATAGAAAGTATCCCTCTCAGCGTCAGAACTGCAGTCCGTTGGGGCTTAAGCCGACAAATAGGCACCGTTTTTATGTTGAGGGGCATTCAGCTCAGTTGAGTTAGATAACCGGATGGCACAAATACGACCAGTGGGATCCAGTCCACCAAAGCTCGTTTAGTTCTGGGATTGAGTGCAACTCCCACGCCATATATTCCATGAGTCATCGCTTCTAGATCACCGAACGCACGGATGGCGAACTGTGAAAGAGCTGAGTTGGATCTTGGCATTTTGAGATGCATAATCACGCGTGGGTCTTGTATGCGTGTTTCGAAGACAGCATACGTCAATTATGAGTTAAATCGTTCAGCTGTAACACCATTTCGATGCCTAAATGCTAGGTTGCCAAAGCCTAGACAGGGGAAGTCGAAAGGCAGAGGTCGGGTTCGAACCACGGACCTTCCGGTCAGTTAATTCGCGCTCTAACCAATGAGCCATCCGGCCCCCAATTTCGAGTTAGTATAAGGTTTCAGCAAGAATGGTCTCTGCAAATTTGACTGAGTGCGGATGTTAAAAGCTCCTAAGTAGAAACGATCTCGTGTATTTGGTAAGGTGTCATTCTGTTTAGACAATGGGGCGCATACGGTCCATCAGTCAGATAATTGACAATCAAATGACCAAGTAAGGTTTGCTTGTGTGGTGGGAAGGAATTTGGGAGGGACATCGGTGGACGTAAAACTGTGCGGACAAATGGTGCTTCCCGGTTGCTAAGGCCGAGGAAGGGGGTTTGGCTGAGGTACCTCACTTTAGGCCCTTGACTCAATAGTCTAACCCACAAAGCAGTGAAAGGAGGTAGGGTTTTGTTTAAGAACCATCCCCTTGCTTCTGACTCAATAGTCTGACCCGCGAGGCATCAGAATTTAGGTTTTACTTTGAGGACCCCTCCCGGAGTCGTGGCTCAGTAGTCTGCTCCTGCAGGGGGTCAGCCTAACCTGAGGGCAGAGGGAAGGCATTACTGCCTCACTCCTGGGCTTAGCAGGGGCCTTTGCCTTGGTAATCAGGGACTACAAAGTTGCATCGTTTATGCCTATGCTCCGGAAGGGGTCCCCGTGACGCCGCCTGTGTTTGGCTGGGGACGTTGCAAGAAATGGCGGCTGATTGATGTCAGTGGCGTTCGTGCTGCCAGTTTCTTTCCAGATAGTCTGATTGAGCGCTTGGAGGTGTAGTTATGTCAGAATGCTTGACATAGGCCAGCACCAGATCCTCTCATCACCCACTGTTCTCTTCTTTTCACTCCAAGGCTTTAAATATAATTAGATTAACTTCATTGCTGGTCGGCAGTGAAGCATCAGTGTAAACACTGACGTCGCTGTCTTTGATTACGATGATGATAATGATGATGCGCATGGCGTTGTTCTAGCACTTATGGTGAGACGTCTCAGTGGTTAGAGTGCGGATTTACTGACCGGATGGTCCGTGGTTTGTACCCGACCTCTACATCTCGACTGCTTCTATGTTGGCTTGGGCAACCTGACAGTATCCCAGCCCTCGTGCTTCCCTCGGGCAGCATGACAGCTGGGCACCGAAATGATGTTACGATTATCTGAACGAATGTTTATTTTTTTACCTGAAATGCATGAAATATGACAAATGTAGCCATTCGCACTGAGGCTGCCAATGCATGCTGCGCAATGTGCGGATACACACTGCTTGCGAGATGGCTCGAGTTGTTAGAGCACGAATTTACTGACCCGAAGGTCCGTGGTTCGAACCCGACCTCTGCCTCTCGACTTCCCTGTCCTGACTTGGGCAACCTGGCAGTATCCCAGCCCCCGTGCTTACTTCGGGCAACATGGCAGCCAGGTACCGGGGGGTATTACAGCTGAATGATTTATTTTTTTACATACTGCTTGCTACCTTAAGCCATTATATTACAGTAAGGCACAGTCACTGAGACTGACCCAATGTTCTTTGTGAATCTCACTTAGCGCGATTCCGGCATGCGAAAATATTTTCATACTCGCAGTTACAAGCTTGCAAGTGTCATCAGTTGGTGCTGATCGAACGTGGCGACAGGATGGCTGTGAATAATATCGGGATGAATGAATGAGAAGATGCAGCACCAAAATGTGAGGTATTTTGTTTTGGAGGGGTTCGAGTTAAGTAAATGTGATTCTTAATGTTTCCATTTGTGTATCAAAGGTCTTTGCGTTTGCAGTTGGTTGTCCTATAATCATCGCTCCACCTTTCATGTATTTCAGCCATGGTTGGGTCAGACTACACGATCCTCTGCGGTCGTTTGGAGATTTACCTCCGCAACTCGTGGATTCCCATCAAAGCCACCCTTAAAACAGACACGCTTGCGATTGAATTGGAATGTAGCCCGAACCGGGGGAGTGGATCTCAGGGTAAGTAATAAACCTCATCAGAATACATTTGGTAGCCATATTGCCCATAGCGAAGATCGAGCCTTCTCTTTACACCAAGGAGCATTTCTTCAAATTCCTACTTTGGCGCGAAGCCACCTCACGACAATTTGCCTGTGGCTGCACACCTATGAAACGATCTATGCAGTAATTCCCTCAATGATGGGAAAATGAAACATTCGGTCTTTGGAGATGACATTCCCGTTGCTGTAGCCCAAACCAAGCTGTTGCTGACAGAACTCCAGGGAATCCATCTTGTCAGAGAGATGTTCCTCGAAAAGATTATTATACCGAGAACTAGAGAAACTAAAGAAGCTTACCGGTTCAGTTTTTGGCTCACTATATACATTAAGGCAGTCAATAAAACGGCATGGAATGTAGGATGCTACTTTTCTTACATGAATAGGCCCTCAAGCAGTAGGGTCAATCACGCAAGTTATTTCCTCTTTTATACGAATTGGGTTCAATTTCGGCACGTTAGTTTTGTAAAGGGATTTGCAAAATTAAAGGAATCTAGGAGAAAAACTGTAAAATTATGTAAGCCAAGCGAAGAGATGCTTTCTGAATACCTAGAGGTACAACTAAATGACGGATATAAGCATAAACTCACTCGTCCAATTGGTCAATCAAACAGTCCAAAGGAAGTTAGCTAGGTAAAAACGCGTGCTACGAGCCCACTGTGCAAATAGACGAGGTAAACAGGACACAGAACTGCAGAACTTAGTGAAAGTCCATATTTGTGCTGATTGAAGGAGGTGCACATAAACTGCTTCTGTCTAGGTTTGGACAACCTAGCAGTGTCCTAGCCCTCATGCTTCCTTCGGGTTACATGGTAGTTAAGCACCGAAAGGGTGCTACAGCTGAATGATTTATTCATTTTGTGAGCGTTGTCTGTTTTCTATCTTGGCACTGAATACTTATTAGAATGTTATTAATGTTAATGGATATCAGTTTGGCTAAGATACATCAGTCACGTGGTCGACAACTAAGTGACCCGGTGTTTATTGGTAAGGTGGGAGAAATCGGAGAGGGACATCAGTTAACAAGGTACCGCTCGGAAGATAATATTTCCTGTTTGCTCAGGATGGGGAATTAGGTCTAGCTGAATCTCCCCACCTTGAGCCAATCACTCAAGAGCATCGCCTGCAAGGCGGCAGGCAATAGGGTTTTCTCAATGGATCTTTCTCGGGGTTGATGACCTAGTATTCTGTGTCCAAAGTTGAGTGTCTCCTTTATCCTGGTCAACTTGAAAATGTCCTACCCATGCGTCCACTTGAATGCTCTACTGCATTCGCGCAGTAGATGATAATGATGATGACGACCTAATTTCCTTTCACTCTGTTGGCATCACTTATACGAGTACTCGAGGAATAATTAGAAAAGAACCTAGGCTTCTGATACACCCACCGGTCGTTAACCAATCCTCTCCGAAACTAGACCATTTATCTGCGAAATACACTCATTTACAAACTACTTTGGTTTTAACACGAGACTCAGTTGCATCCCAGCTGAATCTGTGGTTTATGATATTCTTCAAAAAACACCGCCTCACATTTATTTGATACGATGTTAGAGATATATTTTTTATGACGAACAATATGGCATGTGAGCAGAGTAATCCGAATACGATGGAAATGATGTGATGTGCCACGTGCGTACGGTTTCAGCTGACGATGATCGAGATGCTTAGACCAATTTAAGGTTCCACAGGCTGTTTGCTATAGGTACTGCGTTTTCCACGAATTCGCAAACTTCAAGGGCAGGAAATTCGTCAACATTGAATAGCGCTATCGGATGCGATCCGCTAGCGTCATTTTCGTCGACACGAACCGACCTCATATCTGTTTCATAAAGGCCTAGTTATTGCGGTAGTAAACATACAATCATTTGGACCATGAACGGAACAAATCGAACTGAAATTGACCAGCGCGTCGTTGACACTAGGTCTGCTGGATTCACCGGGTAGCCAAACCAACGGTGAAATAGTCAGGTACGGAGAGATAGCGTTGCTGTCACTGTAACAAGATCAAATGCAGATGCTTGAGAGGCCATGTGATCAACCTATAGGCTGTACATTCATCTCATGTCAGGTTTAATCCTAAAATGTGACTGTCTATTACTTATTCACTAAGTCCCCTCACCAATCAATTGACCACTCATTGCACTCCTTAGGATAGGTACGCCGCGATGAATAAGTAGTTTCTTCGGTCGCCTTGAACTCGTAAACGTGTCTAGACCTCATGCCTATGCTTACAGCGGTAACACAGACAGGATGATTATTGTACGCACCCAGATTGCAACCAGTCAGTTTCGCACATGTCGTAACCACACTCGCTAACAATAACATGTGATTGGTGGCTAGTCAAAACAAATAAAACGAAATACTGTATCGCTCTCCAAGGGAGCTCTTAGGTGTCTACCGAAAGGAGTGAAGTGTCCCGCTCCCATTTTTCACATCACGAGAGATAGGATTTATCCCAAGGAACACGAGACTCAGTTGCATCCCAGCTGAATCTGTGGTTTATGATATTCTTCAAAAAACACCGCCTCACATTTATTTGATACGATGTTAGAGATATATTTTTTATGACGAACAATATGGCATGTGAGCAGAGTAATCCGAATACGATGGAAATGATGTGATGTGCCACGTGCGTACGGTTTCAGCTGACGATGATCGAGATGCTTAGACCAATTTAAGGTTCCACAGGCTGTTTGCTATAGGTACTGCGTTTTCCACGAATTCGCAAACTTCAAGGGCAGGAAATTCGTCAACATTGAATAGCGCTATCGGATGCGATCCGCTAGCGTCATTTTCGTCGACACGAACCGACCTCATATCTGTTTCATAAAGGCCTAGTTATTGCGGTAGTAAACATACAATCATTTGGACCATGAACGGAACAAATCGAACTGAAATTGACCAGCGCGTCGTTGACACTAGGTCTGCTGGATTCACCGGGTAGCCAAACCAACGGTGAAATAGTCAGGTACGGAGAGATAGCGTTGCTGTCACTGTAACAAGATCAAATGCAGATGCTTGAGAGGCCATGTGATCAACCTATAGGCTGTACATTCATCTCATGTCAGGTTTAATCCTAAAATGTGACTGTCTATTACTTATTCACTAAGTCCCCTCACCAATCAATTGACCACTCATTGCACTCCTTAGGATAGGTACGCCGCGATGAATAAGTAGTTTCTTCGGTCGCCTTGAACTCGTAAACGTGTCTAGACCTCATGCCTATGCTTACAGCGGTAACACAGACAGGATGATTATTGTACGCACCCAGATTGCAACCAGTCAGTTTCGCACATGTCGTAACCACACTCGCTAACAATAACATGTGATTGGTGGCTAGTCAAAACAAATAAAACGAAATACTGTATCGCTCTCCAAGGGAGCTCTTAGGTGTCTACCGAAAGGAGTGAAGTGTCCCGCTCCCATTTTTCACATCACGAGAGATAGGATTTATCCCAAGGGAGCTGCTCCCGAGATGAGCTCCACCCAGTCCCCAGGATGAAAAGTGTCTTGCGTATATACTGTTAAAGAATAATAATAAAATTTTTTAGAGAACCGTTGATCTAGACGCTAATAATTCCAGCCAATGGGACTAATGTAGCCGGCCGCGTACACGAAAGTGCAACAGTGTGATGAAGGTCATATCGTCTGACGAAACACCACACCTCAGATGCATCTGGACTGAACCGCATCAGACTTATCTTCGTGGTCAGAAAGCTTTGAGCTTTCACCTTTATCAACATTCTGTGGAGGTGCTGTGAAAACTCTCTTTACCCAAAGTTACGGAGCACAATATGTACACCCCCACCGGTAGATATTGATAACAACTTGGTATTGGCACCTTAAAAGGTTCCGAACCCCCCCCTC